AATATCGACGCCAAAAAGCTAATGAAATGTCGAACTCCAGAATCATATAATGGTCGAGGTGTTGGAGGATGGTTGGAATCTCTCCTGGTGGGATGAAGGTGTGGTGGAGGATTGCATTTTCCCTGAGGTGGACTCACTACTGTGGTTGGGTTGTCTCCCCTCTATTGACGTTGAAATTGGGATTGATGACTCGTCTTTCCCCAGTCAAGCTAGAGGTTTCGATGATCGGCTCATCTACCCTCAGTGAGAATGAATCTTTTTATGGAAGGTCTGTCTTTCTTCACTTGGGCGGGGGGACAATGGTCGGAGGGACGGAAAGGGTGTTTCCAGTAGTACTTACCATGGGATATGAGTATAAGGACAGAGGACGTGGGGCAGGGTGTGAACGGGACATTGCCAGATATAGAGATCGGGTGAACAGTCTCGCTCTAGACTCCGTCCCCAATCCTCCTCTCAAAAGATGGGTGGGGGGAAAGGGTGGGGGTGGAATACATGACAAGTTTTGCGTGGTGGACCCAAGACTCTACTGGTAAAGGACATTCAATTACTGTATCGTAGTTATATGTTTCAGAAATAGATGGTTCATGTAGATTGAAAGAGACTTGTGGAGATGATGCATCTGAAATTTGCATGTGATACCAATTCACGTACAATACCTGATTCTGCAATTGTGAGAGATATGATGTGGTTGGGGCAATTGAGTATGGGGAAGTATAGAGGTATGAAAATATGGGAGTACCCCAGGTTATCCCTTTTTGAACCCTCCACCTGTCATCCTATGTATCAGCCGAGTCTTTCTTTCATCTGGTCCCAGACGTCGACATCTTGAGGACGATGAGGAGATACGAGGATATTAAGGGGGAAAGAGATGTGGTCTACCACGACGACGCTTGTCCAAGGAGAAACGCGTTGGTGAGTGAAAAAGAGAGATGGGGGAGAGAAAGCAATAGAGAGAGAGGAGGGGGGGGGAAGAGGAGATAAAAGATGGGCTGTTTCAACAGCACAATGTAAAACAACAAACCCACCCAAGCTTTTTCCTCTCGTAAAACGCATCAACACGACTAGCACCCATATTGATAATCCTAGGACAACCATCTCTATCTTTTTCCAACCTAGTACATTCCGTACAATAATAAGCGTCGGATATAGCTGGTGAACCGCAGATTATACATTTAGCAGATGTTGCTCCGACTGAGTGTTAGCGTCGATATTTGTATACACGTCATTGACTTCATCAAGATTGACAGTGAAACCATGTTGGCAACATGAGAAATGCCGTCGTTTAATCATGAGTGGATTTTTAGACGCTCCAAATTCAGTCGAGTTGTCTTGCGCTTGAGCATGATATCTGGGTCGTAGTCTCAAATGGAAGGAGGTAGGGGGTAGCAAACGACTTCATTACTTTACAGAGAACAAGTTGGCCGAGTTCTGGTGATAATACTCCGTTCTTCAGTGCAGACAGCACTCCGTGGGAAGTGACAAAGAAAGAGGAAGAGGGTAGATTGAAAGAGAGAGAGAGAGATAGAGGGAGAGATGAAGACAAGGGAAGAACGAAAAACCACTCACATGAACATTCATCACATATCCTCACTAACGTCATCGGTCGTACGTAGGAATCGCACACTGGACTGATTTGTCAGCTCATTCAGGTTTCATCTACTGCTGGGCGATGTTCGAAGTGTGATATGACCAGCTCATCAAATAGACATCCGCTCTGGAAGATTTGATATACCCGTGAGAAGTAGCCCGAAAGGCAGAGGTAGAAGTAAGAGAGTGGCTATGGCAGAAGGAATGTGAGACGATTTCAATTGATTGACCAGAGGAAGAAGGGACAAGAGTTTGGTCTGACAGGACTGACAGAAGATGGCCCCGAAAATTACACGCACCATTTACCATCACATTTATCACACAATCTCCCTATAGCGATACCGGGTTGACGACGACACATTAGTAAATCTGGGTGATGTTTGGACTGGAGGGGTTAGTTACTTTGGCACGAAAATGTAGGATAGCTCACCATGTTGGAAGTTTCTCCTCTCTATATCTCTCAGTAGAAAGATATCTGTTCTTTTGTTATCCCTGTTGTTTGAACCAAGAACCAAGGGTAGTTGGGTGGTGTTGCTTCTTCCTTATCCAAGTATACTTGTATGCTGAGTAAAGTCGCGCATAAAGTCGGTTGCAGTTAAGTGGCGGGTGATAAAGGGGTGGATCGGATAAGTCTCCACGTGGGAGAGGAGCCCCGCGCGGCTTCGGGCTCGGCGTCGTACGAGTTGCCAACTTGCCCATCACCGACCGAATCAAGTCGGGTATATAAGTATTCGACGTTGGTGTTGTTACTCGATTCTTTGTTTCTCACTCATTTGTCAGTGGAGAACATATACTAGGAAATATAATTCTGTCCTAGCAATACAAAACACGATGTCTTCCAAAGGTCGATTCGCTGGTAGACCCATGGATAGGGTATGGTTCATCTTCTGCGTCGTAAGTTTTCAACATTCCATGTGAGACCCTCTGCTAAATCATAAGCTTCATACGGTATGTCCCCTTCATAATTAACAGGTACACCCCAGCAGAGTTTCCATTCGTCTCATTCTTTTCATCTCTCATAAATCAATTACGTGTCTTCACGAGACAGATTTGATCTTACGTCCAGACACTACAGTATGATGATGTACTGAAGACGAGGGAAAGGTTATGTATGGGTGACACGACACGACACGACACGGACTGATCAAAACAGGTAGTAACCTTAACACTCGATTGTACTCATCTTTACCCACCTGCTTTAATAGCTAAAACACCATTACCGAGATTCCAAAAATGGTATATCGCTTGGTCTCGTGATCCCATCGTTACGGGAGCGACGGGAACAGCTGCTGAATGGGGTTGGTTGAGAACTTTTGTTTGGATGGAATTGTTATTCCAAGTTCCATGTTTCTTGATTGGTGCTGTGGGATTGTATCGTAGTGAGTTTTTTCCCCGTGTACCACCTCGGAATGGTACTTTTACTTCTTTGTCTTCCTTCCCACAGATCCACCGAGAGGAGGAGGGGTGTTGTAGGGCAGATGGGGAATGTCGTGGTCAGGTATGCCAGGAGTTTATAGCTGGCTGCTGCATCATCTCACTGTCAAGCTTGGGTTATGATTGGATCCTTGAAGTGATGATGGTTGATGTCGTGTTGATAAAATATGCTAATGAATAGATGATAAACGTGTTTATCGTGAGTCTTTTCACAATCTACATTTTCTACTCCCATCACACAAGTATATCCCACAATCCGTCATTTATATAGAGTACAAGTAAGACCAAAGATTACTTTCCTGACCCCAAGCGATCTTACTGGCATACGGAGCATCAACATCCACCACCCTCATCCCAGCTTTATCGGCAATCTTGACTTACCCAGTTCAACCTCCTCTCACCAAAGGTGAAATCGGAACGTTGTTAGCTAGTTATTTACCGATTTTGATCTTACCTACGATTTTGGTCATAGATATGAGTATCAGGATTTTGGGGATTATAAAAGTTGCAGAAGAGAGGAAGAGGGTGTGAAGGTCGTTTGGTTGTACTGGTACGCTCTGACCTCACCGGTCAGCTGTTCACAAGAGTCACACAGAACTTTTGTTTTCTGCGTGAGGTTCAAATTTGGATTGATCGAGACTGGGGGGAGATTCCAGGGAGTGTGGGAAGCAGATCTTGAGTGACATGAGACGTGGAGTTGAGGGAGTGGAGGGCTGTGGAGAATATCCCATCTGACGGGAGAATAGATCGCAGAGGAACATCTATGAAGGACGTTTTGAGATGAGCTGGGTAATTCGGGTAAGAGCAATAAGACGTAGACAGAATGTAGATAAGATATGAGAGGAAAAGAACTTCACAAGTGTGGCCAGGAATTGTTGATCAATTTTGGCAGATGCTCATGAATCTACTGGGATCAAATGACACGCACTGTCCCACTCCGATGACATATAATCTTAGCTGTAAGAGACAGCACACCACCCAAAAAATAACCAAATAGATAAAAGGATATTCATACGTGGTATCATATCATAACACAGGTAAAACAGATCTCTCTTCATTCTGACCTTAGAAGTCTGATGGGACAGACTGGCATAAACTCGACTGAGGGACGTGTCTGAAGGCTAGAGGCTAGACGGGATGATTCGGGTCGGAGGATTTGATGTCTTGTTTAATGTATCGGTCTGAAGATTGGGGATGAGACAAGAGAATGGACGATCTATGAGGTAGATGGGAAACGACTACTCCAGGGTGAGTGATAGAAAGAGGTCGATCGTTGCCTAGGATTGAACAAGTCGGGAGAATCGATGTAGATGAGCAATGATGGGATAGTGAGATGAGGTCGAAGGGTGTTGTGAACGAAAGCCGAGTTGAAGAGTAACGATGGACCGAGTGTAAATTGGGAGTATGTGAGAGAGAGGAGAGATAAATTGGAAGGTTGAATCACGCTTGAACCCTCACCACGTCCATCCCTGCACTCGTATGTTTATGTCCACTCTCTTTACCTTCTTCACACACCGTCACACCCATCAACCATTTATCTTTCAAAGCCTCATCCACCCCCCATCTAGTCTTGGGATCAGGATCGAGCATGTGTCGAATGACGTTCCTACATTCCCTCGGGACGAGATTGTTCAATGGTGGTGGTGAACCGTCTTTCGAAGAATAAGCTCCGGTGTAGGCTGCAAAGCTCGAGTCGGCAGGTTTGGCCACTCGCCATGGGAGTTCTTGGAATTGCATGCAGTAGAAAACGATGGCAGAGGCCCAAACGTCTACTAAGCGGGCGTCGTATTCTGCCGGTCAGATTTTGAGCTCTCGAGTTGACGATAGACATTTCAATGTCATGGGTAAGACGACTGAGGAGCAAGTCTTGCACCTCTCGAACGGGGGGTAAAGGAAAGAGGAGACGAGAGGGGTTATGCCCTGGAAGAAGACTGAGGGAAACAACCCACCTTTATGATCAAACAACTCCGGTGCGATATATGGTTCCGATCCGCACAAACCTTTCGACATATGCGTCTTTTTCTCCCAACACATTCGGAAAACATCCGACACTCCAAAGTCGGTGATCTGATTATCAGCTGGATTCAATTTCCTTTCGTCAAGAGAAGCCGACAAAAGGAGTTAAACACGGAGACAGGATGAAAAGCTTGACCCACTTTGACATGTCCCCTGCCGTCCAACAACAAATTCTCCGGTTTGATATCCCTATGTGCGACACCCATCGAATGCAGATACTGCACCCCTTGTAAAATCTGTTTGAACGTACATTCCACCTCTCCGCTGCTCATCCCACCTCTCTTTATCGCAGCATATAAATCTCCACCAGGACAATATTCCATGACCTCACACCAATGTTGACTCTCATCCTGTACCAAATCCACCGTTTCCACAACATTGATATGATGCAAAGTGGAGGATATGCAAAATTCAGAAGTGAGCTTCTTGACGTAGTCCTTTTCAGTCTCATTCTTTCTTCTTTTCCTGAATTCCTTGACGGCGTAAAGCTTTTCTTCTCGACGATCCCATTTATGAGCCAAACGGACAATGGCCGTTGCACCTTTACCGATGGCTGCCTTATCGCAGATTCCATATTTCTTCAAAAGAGACGCCGTGGATGTTGAATCCCCATAACCACCCTCGCTGCCTTTGGTAGACGCTCTGTCAGATTTTGCAGATCCAGATGGTCGACGAGTCAATTTGTTAGGCCCATCACCAATGCCAATCAGGTCTTTGAGGGTGAACTTGTTACCGGAAGCGGCGACGACTTCTTCCTTTTTGGCGACGACAACGGGTTGCCCTCCAATCATCGCTACAACTTTGTGTACGGGATCCTTGCCACCTGCACTACGGGTCGATTTGGTCGACGATCGTCTTTGCAGTGGTGGCGCAGCGGTAGAAGCGACATGTCCTTGACCTAATAGGGCAGCAGACGAATCGACAGGAGGTTGAGCGTGAATGTCACCATGCTCAACAATGGGTTTGTTGAAACTTGCGGCGCGAGAGGGAGCACGAGAGTTGGGGCGAGAAGCGTCCGAGTCGGAGTAGCCGGCAGGTGGAGTAGAGGGCGTCAAGGGAGGAGAAGAGGAGCAATCTTGGCCTATCCTATTAGGACTGAGTGCCCTTGGACTGGCAGAACCAGTGCCGTTCGGAGACAGTTGCCCGTTACTTGCGAAACCCGCCGCCTTGGGTAAATCCAACTGTAAACGATGCTCTTTGGCAGCCTTGTTCTCCTTGTTACTATCATGACGGAACATCTTGGAGAAAAAGCCACTTTTCTTCTCGCCTATCGAACCGAGCATATTGGGTTTGCTGGCCGACGGAGCCCGAGCAGGTCGTGGACCGTTGGCGGTGGAGGCGGCGGTTGCAGTAGAGGTGGTGGATGCCACCTCGGGATCAAGAGACTCGCGAGGGTGGGCGGCCAAGTTACGGAAGTCGGTGCTGGCTGAAGATGGGTTGCGGGACATCGCGCCAGAGGAAGTTTGTGCTGGTGGAATATTGAGACCGCCATTGGCTTGTGCAGACGCGGAGCCGATGGGGCGGACTGAATGGGTCAGAGTGAGGCTCATAGGACGCAAACAGCCGCATGTCATGATCATAGATGGATGGTGATGAGAGATGCTAGGAGGGCCGACACGGATGACTCATGGGTACTGGGTAGGACAGTAGGCTTATCAAGAGCAGACGCGAGCAGACTGCAGGAGGAAGCATGGTAATATGCAAGGGGAGTAAGGCAACGCACCATTTGGGAAGGGAAAAGCTTGATCCGAAACCGACTTGGCCCCTGCGAAATGCGTAGGTGTGCGGTGTGGCGCGCTAGCATGACCGGAGCTGGGAGGAGGGACGAGGTGCATTATTGCTTGAGACGAAGTATGATCGTCATGTTCGTCAAGAGACAAGATGTTGGTTTTTGGATCGACGCCCAGCCCACTAGGGGACTGGTAGAGCCAGGTTTGGTAGCGAGAGCAAGAGGTGAGTGATGATGAACAGAATGGCCGGGATGCAGTTCAGGATCTAAGTGATGTGGTAGGTGTTTATTTGGGAAAGGAACGTCTTGAGTCCAGGAAGATGTATGTGGGGTATTCTGAATGTCAGTTCATTTTTTACGTGCATGTAACACATGAGCCTAGGCCAGTTCAGGGAGACACAAGATGTCAGTGAAGGGCGATTTCGTGAGGGGTGGGGAATATTCGAGATGAACTTAAAATGAAGGGATATCGGTCGGGACAGGAGTGCAGTAATCAAAGAGGTTGCAATAGTTCAAACGTGGAAAAACTCGATATGAGCTAAACTTCACGTTTCTATTCTCTGGCAAGA